ACGTGCAGGTTTATTGCAAAATTGAGGGATTATGAAGTCCAAGATGACTAATAAAGATGGCCTCGTTGATGTGACTGAGGTAGAAGAGATTAATAATGTACAGGTTTATTGCAAAATTGAGGGATTATGAAGCCCAAGATGACTGATAAAGATGGCCTCGCTGATGTGACTGAGGTAGAAGAGATTAATAATGTACAGGTTTATTGCAAAATTGAGGGATTATGAAGCCCAAGATGACTGATAAAGATGGCCTCGTTGATGTGACTGAGGTAGAAGAGATTAATAATGTACAGGTTTATTGCAAAATTGAGGGATTATGAAGCCCAAGATGACTGATAAAGATGGCCTCGTTGATGTGACTGAGGTAGAAGAGATTAAAAATGTACAGGTTTATTGCAAAATTGAGGGATTATGAAGCCCAAGATGACTGATAAAGATGGCCTCGTTGATGTGAGTGAGGTAGAAGAGATTAATAATATACAGGTTTATTGCAAAATTGAGGGATTATGAAGCCCAATATGACTGATAAAGATGGCCTCGTTGGTGTGAGAGGGAAGAAGAGATTAATAAAGAACAGGCTTATTGCAAAGTTTGGGGATTATGAAGCCCAAGATGACTGATAAAGATAGCCTCGTTGGGTGTGACTGAGGTGGAAGAGATTAATAATGTACATGTTTATTTCAAAATTGAGGGATTATGAAGCCCAATATGACTGATAAAGATGGCCTCGTTGGTGTGACTGAGGAAGAAGAGATTAATAATGAACAGGTTTATTGCAAAATTGAGGGATTATGAAGCCCAAGATGACTGATAAAGATGGCCTCGTTGGTGTGACTGAGGTGGAAGAGATTAATAATGTACAGGTTTCTGGCAAAATTGAGGGATTATGAAGCCCATGATGACTGATAAAGATGGCCTCGTTGATGTGACTGAGGTGGAAGAGATTTTTCATTTACAGGTTTATTGCAAAATCGAGGGATTACGAAGCCCATGATGACTGATAAAGATGGTCTCGTTGATGTGACTGAGTTGGAAGAGATTAATAATGAACAGGTGTGCGCTTGAGGGTCCGGTTTGCAAGGGTGGGGGTTCTACATTTCCTGTGGGCTTGAGTCTCCTGGTTACAAGGATGGGGATGCTAGGTGTCCGTGTGGGCTTGAGTCTCCTGGTTGTGGACATGGGGTACTACATGTCCATGTTGGTTTGAGTGTCAGGGTTGCAGACGTTGGGGTTTTACATGTGGACTTTGTTACCCATATTGCGGACATGGGGGTGCTACATGTCTGTGTGGGCTTGGGTCTTTTGTTGCAAGGACGGGGGTGCTACGTGTCCGTGTGGGCTTGAGTCTCCTGGTTGTGGACATGGGGTGCTAAATGTCCACGTTGGCTTGAATTTCCTGGTTGTGGACATGGGGGGACTACATGTCCACGTCGGCTTGAGTGTCAGGGTTGCGGACGTTGGTGTTTTAAATGTGGACTCTCTAATCCGGACTGCGGACGTGGGGGTGCTATTGTCCTTGAAGGCTTGAGTCTCTTTGTTGCAAGGGTGGTATGCTACGTGTCCGTGTTGGCTTAAGTCTCCTGGTTGTGGACATGGGGTGCTAAATGTCCACGTTGGCTTGAATCTCCTGGTTGAGGACATGGGGGGACTACATGTCCACGTCGGCTTGAGTGTCAGGGTTGCGGACGTTGGTGTTTTAGATGTGGACTCTCTAATCCGGACTGCGGACGTGGGGTGCTATTGTCCTTGAAGGCTTGAGTCTCTTTGTTACAAGGGTGGTATGCTACGTGTCCGTGTTGGCTTAAGTCTCCTGGTTGCAAGGGTGAGGCTGGTACGTGTCCGTGTGGGCTTGAGTATCCTGGTTGCAAGGGTGTGGGTGCTTCATGTCCCTGTGGGCTTGAGTCTTCTGGTTGTAAGGGTGGGGGTGCTACGTATCCGGGTGGGCTTGAGTCTCCTGGTTGCAAGGGCGGGGTGCTACGTGTCCTTGTGGATCTGAGTCTTCTGGTTGCAAGGATGAGGGTGCTTCATGTCCATGTGGGATTGGGTCTCTTGGTTGAAAGGGTGGGGGTGTTACGTGTTCATGTGTGCTTCAGTCTCCTGGTTGTGGACATGGGGTCCTACATTTCTACGTTGGCATGAGTTTCAGGGTTGCGGACGTTGGGGCTTTACATATGGACTCTGTTACCCGGATCGCGAACATGGGGTGTTACGTGTCCTTGTGGGTTTGAGTCTCCTGGTTGCAAGGGTGGGGTGCTTCATGTCCGTGTTGTCTTGAGTCTCCTGGTTGCAAGGGTGGGGCTGCTACGTATCCGGGTGGGCTTTAGTCTCCTTGTTGCAAGGGTGGGGATGCTAGGTGTCCATTTGGGATTGGGTATATTGGTTGCAAAGATGGGGGTGTTACGTGTTCGTGTGCGCTTTAGTCTCCTGGTTGTGGACATGGGGTGCTAAATGTCCACGTTGGCTTGAATCTCCTGGTTGAGGACATGGGGGGACTACATGTCCACGTCGGCTTGAGTGTCAGGGTTGCGGACGTTGGTGTTTTAAATGTGGACTCTCTAATCCGGACTGCGGACGTGGGGGTGCTATTGTCCTTGAAGGCTTGAGTCTCTTTGTTACAAGGGTGGTATGCTACGTGTCCGTGTTGGCTTAAGTCTCCTGGTTGCAAGGGTGAGGCTGGTACGTGTCCATGTGGGCTTGAGTCTCCTAGTTGCAAGGGTGTGGGTGCTTCATGTCCCTGTGGGCTTGAGTCTTCTGGTTGTAAGGGTGGGGGTGCTACGTATCCGGGTGGGCTTGAGTCTCCTGGTTGCAAGGGCGGGGTGCTACGTGTCCTTGTGGATCTGAGTCTTCTGGTTGCAAGGATGAGGGTGCTTCATGTCCCTGTGGGATTGGGTTTCTTGGTTGAAAGGGTGGGGGTGTTACGTGTTCATGTGTGCTTCAGTCTCCTGGTTGTGGACATGGGGTCCTACATTTCTACGTTGGCATGAGTTTCAGGGTTGCGGACGTTGGGGCTTTACATATGGACTCTGTTACCCGGATTGCGAACATGGGGTGTTACGTGTCCTTGTGGGTTTGAGTCTCCTGGTTGCAAGGGTGGGGTGCTTCATGTCCGTGTTGTCTTGAGTCTCCTGGTTGCAAGGGTGGGGCTGCTACGTATCCGGGTGGGCTTTAGTCTCCTTGTTGCAAGGGTGGGGATGCTAGGTGTCCATTTGGGATTGGGTATATTGGTTGCAAAGATGGGGGTGTTACGTGTTCGTGTGCGCTTTAGTCTCCTGGTTGTGGACATGGGGTGCTAAATGTCCACGTTGGCTTGAATCTCCTGGTTGAGGACATGGGGGGACTACATGTCCACGTCGGCTTGAGTGTCAGGGTTGCGGACGTTGGTGTTTTAAATGTGGACTCTCTAATCCGGACTGCGGACGTGGGGGTGCTATTGTCCTTGAAGGCTTGAGTCTCTTTGTTACAAGGGTGGTATGCTACGTGTCCGTGTTGGCTTAAGTCTCCTGGTTGCAAGGGTGAGGCTGGTACGTGTCCGTGTGGGCTTGAGTCTCCTGGTTGCAAGGGTGTGGGTGCTTCATGTCCCTGTGGGCTTGAGTCTTCTGGTTGTAAGGGTGGGGGTGCTACGTATCCGGGTGGGCTTGAGTCTCCTGGTTGCAAGGGCGGGGTGCTACGTGTCCTTGTGGATCTGAGTCTTCTGGTTGCAAGGATGAGGGTGCTTCATGTCCATGTGGGATTGGGTCTCTTGGTTGAAAGGGTGGGGGTGGTACGTGTTCATGTGTCCTTCAGTCTCCTGGTTGTGGACATGGGGTCCTACATTTCCACGTTGGCATGAGTTTCAGGGTTGCGGACGTTGGGGCTTTACATATGGACTCTGTTACCCGGATTGCGAACATGGGGTGTTACGTGTCCTTGTGGGTTTGAGTCTCCTGGTTGCAAGGGTGGGGTGCTTCATGTACGTGTTGTCTTGAGTCTCCTGGTTGCAAGGGTGGGGCTGCTACGTATCCGGGTGGGCTTTAGTCTCCTTGTTGCAAGGGTGGGGATGCTAGGTGTCCATTTGGGATTGGGTAAATTGGTTGCAAAGATGGGGGTGTTACGTGTTCGTGTGCGCTTTAGTCTCCAAGTTGCAAGGATGGGGGTAGTATGTTTTCGTGTGGGCTTGAGTCTCCTGGTTGCAAGGTTGGGGGTGCTACATGTCCGTGTGGGCTTGAGTCTCCTTTTTGTGCTCATGGGGTGCTACATGTCCACGTTGCGTTGATTTTCAGGGTTGCGGATGTTAGGGATTTACATGTGGACTCTGTAATCCGGATTACGGATATGGGGGTGCTACATGTCCGTGTGGTCTTGAGTCTTCTAGTTGCAAGGATGGGGGTGCTACGTTTCCGTGTGGGCTTGAGTCTCTTGTTTGCGATGATGGGGAGCTACGTGTCCGCGAGGGCTTGAGTCTCCTTGTTGCAAGGGTGTGGGTGCTTCATGTCCCTGTGGGCTTGAGTCTTCTGGTTGTAAGGGTGGGGGTGCTACGTATCCGGGTGGGCTTGAGTCTCCTGGTTGCAAGGGCGGGGTGCTACGTGTCCTTGTGGATCTGAGTCTTCTGGTTGCAAGGATGAGGGTGCTTCATGTCCCTGTGGGATTGGGTCTCTTGGTTGAAAGGGTGGGGGTGTTACGTGTTCATGTGTGCTTCAGTCTCCTGGTTGTGGACATGGGGTCCTACATTTCTACGTTGGCATGAGTTTCAGGGTTGCGGACGTTGGGGCTTTACATATGGACTCTGTTACCCGGATTGCGAACATGGGGTGTTACGTGTCCTTGTGGGTTTGAGTCTCCTGGTTGCAAGGGTGGGGTGCTTCATGTCCGTGTTGTCTTGAGTCTCCTGGTTGCAAGGGTGGGGCTGCTACGTATCCGGGTGGGCTTTAGTCTCCTTGTTGCAAGGGTGGGGATGCTAGGTGTCCATTTGGGATTGGGTATATTGGTTGCAAAGATGGGGGTGTTACGTGTTCGTGTGCGCTTTAGTCTCCTGGTTGTGGACATGGGGTGCTAAATGTCCACGTTGGCTTGAATCTCCTGGTTGAGGACATGGGGGGACTACATGTCCACGTCGGCTTGAGTGTCAGGGTTGCGGACGTTGGTGTTTTAAATGTGGACTCTCTAATCCGGACTGCGGACGTGGGGGTGCTATTGTCCTTGAAGGCTTGAGTCTCTTTGTTACAAGGGTGGTATGCTACGTGTCCGTGTTGGCTTAAGTCTCCTGGTTGCAAGGGTGAGGCTGGTACGTGTCCGTGTGGGCTTGAGTCTCCTGGTTGCAAGGGTGTGGGTGCTTCATGTCCCTGTGGGCTTGAGTCTTCTGGTTGTAAGGGTGGGGGTGCTACGTATCCGGGTGGGCTTGAGTCTCCTGGTTGCAAGGGCGGGGTGCTACGTGTCCTTGTGGATCTGAGTCTTCTGGTTGCAAGGATGAGGGTGCTTCATGTCCATGTGGGATTGGGTCTCTTGGTTGAAAGGGTGGGGGTGGTACGTGTTCATGTGTCCTTCAGTCTCCTGGTTGTGGACATGGGGTCCTACATTTCCACGTTGGCATGAGTTTCAGGGTTGCGGACGTTGGGGCTTTACATATGGACTCTGTTACCCGGATTGCGAACATGGGGTGTTACGTGTCCTTGTGGGTTTGAGTCTCCTGGTTGCAAGGGTGGGGTGCTTCATGTACGTGTTGTCTTGAGTCTCCTGGATGCAAGGGTGGGGCTGCTACGTATCCGGGTGGGCTTTAGTCTCCTTGTTGCAAGGGTGGGGATGCTAGGTGTCCATTTGGGATTGGGTAAATTGGTTGCAAAGATGGGGGTGTTACGTGTTCGTGTGCGCTTTAGTCTCCAAGTTGCAAGGATGGGGGTAGTATGTTTTCGTGTGGGCTTGAGTCTCCTGGTTGCAAGGTTGGGGGTGCTACATGTCCGTGTGGGCTTGAGTCTCCTTTTTGTGCTCATGGGGTGCTACATGTCCACGTTGCGTTGATTTTCAGGGTTGCGGATGTTAGGGATTTACATGTGGACTCTGTAATCCGGATTACGGACATGGGGGTGCTACATGTCCGTGTGGTCTTGAGTCTTCTAGTTGCAAGGATGGGGGTGCTACGTTTCCGTGTGGGCTTGAGTCTCTTGTTTGCGATGATGGGGAGCTAAGTGTCCGCGAGGGCTTGAGTCTCCTTGTTGCAAGTGTGGGGGTGCTACGTGTCCATGTGGGCTTGAGTCTCCTGGTTATGGACATCGGGTGCTACATGTCCGTGTGGGCTTAAGTCTCTTGTTTGCAATGATGGGGAGCTACGTGTCCGTGTGGGTCTTGAGTTTCAGTTTGCGGACGTTTGGGTCTTACATGTGGACTCTATACTTGTGGACATGGGGTGCTATATGTCTGCGTGGGCTTGAGTTTCAGGGTTTGCAAGGATGGAGCTGCTACATGTCCGTGTGGGCTTCAGTCTCCTTGTTGCAAGGGTTGGGGTGCTACGTGTCCATGTGGGCTTGAGTCTCCTGGTTATGGACATCGGGTGCTACATGTCCGTGTAGGCTTGAGTTTCAGGGTTGCGGACGTTGGGGTTTCACACGTGGACTCTATATTCCGGATTGCGGACATGGGAGTGCTACATATCCGTGTGGGCTTGGGTCTCCTGGTTGCAAGGGTGGGGTAATACGTGTCTGTGTGGGCTTGAGTCTCCTGGTTGAGGACATTTGTGTGCTATTGTCCGTGTGGGCTTGAGTCACCTGGATGTTGACGCGGGTGTGCTACCTGTTAGTGGCCATGGTGTGGTGTCACGAAGCGATGTGTGTATCGCCGACCCTGGTGTCGTTTATTTCTGCCATACAGCTGTTAAGAGATGAGGTTTTAGAAAAGGTTGGCTACCCATCGTCAGGAGTGGAATAAAGCCTGGTCACCGGGTTATGGACGTGGGTATGCTGCGTGTCTGTGTGGGTTTGAATCACTTGGTTCTGGACGTGGGTATGCTACTTGTCTGTGTGGGCTCGATCCTATGGTTTGCGGATATGGGGAAACTTTGTGTCCATGTAGGGCTTGAATCTCTTGTTTGCGAACATGGGGGTGCAACGTGTCCGTGTGGGCTTGAGTCTCTTGATTGCAAGGGTGCGGGTGCTACGTGTCCGTGTGGGTTTAAATCACTGGGTTTTTTGTGTCCGTGTAGAGCTTGAGTCACTGGGTTACGGATGTGATTGTGTGACGTGTCCTTGTGTGCGCTTGAGTCTCCGGATAGCAGACATGGGGGAACCTTGTGTCCGTGTAGGGCTTGAAGCTCTGGTTTGCAAACATGGGGGTGCAACGTGTCCGTGTGGGCTTGAGTCTCCGGATAGCAGACATAGCAGAACTTTGTGTCTGTGTAGGGCTTGAGTCTCTTGATTGCGAACATTGGGGTGTAACGTGTCCGTGTTGTCTTGAGTCACCGTGTTACGGACCTGGTTGTGTGACGTGTCCTTGTGTGCGTTAGGGTCCCCAGATTGCAGATATGAGGGAGATACGTGTCTGCGTGGGCTTAAGTCTCCTGGTTGTGGACATGGGTTGCTACCTGTTCATGTTGGCTTGAGCTTCAGGGTTGCAGACGATTGGGTTTTACATATGGACTCTATAATCCGGATTGCGGACACGAGGTGCTACTTGTCCTTGTGGGTTTGGGTCTCTTTTTGCAAGGGTGGGGTGCTACGTGTCCGTGTGGGCTTGGATCTCCTGGTTGCAAGTGTGGGGTGCTACGTGTCTATATTGGCCTGAGTCTCCTGGTTGTGGAAATGGGGTTTTAAATGTCCGTGTGATCTTGAGTTTCAGGGTTGCGGACGTTGGGGTCTTACATGTGGACTCTATACTTGTGGACATGGGGTGCTATATGTCTGCGTGGGCTTAAGTTTCAGGGTTTGCAAGGATGGAGCTGCTACATGTCCGTGTGGGCTTCAGTCTCCTTGTTGCAAGGGTTGGGGTGCTACGTGTCCATGTGGGCTTGAGTCTCCTGGTTATGGACATCGGGTGATACATGTCCGTGTAGGCTTGAGTTTCAGGGTTGCGGACGTTGGGGTTCTACATGTGGACTCTGTAACCCGGATTGCTGACATGGGGGTGCTACATGTCCGTGTGGGCTTGAGTCTCCGGGTTGTGGATGTGGGGGTACTACCTGTAGGTTAGTGTGGTGTGGTGTCACGAGGTAATTCATGCTCATTGTTAACCCGTTCAGCTCGGCATTATTCAGCCTGATAGCCACCTCACAAACGAGATTAAAAATCGAACACGCCGTACCGTGAGACTGCTCAGCGCGCGCCACAATGCGTGTGCGTTCAAGCGGCCAGAGGCTTCGACTAACGGGAACCTAGCGCATGCGCAGATCATTTGCCAATCTGGTCTTGTCATGTCGAGAACACGTTGCACGGCCGTTCTCTGCTGTGCTCCAAGCCTCTCAGTTCTTTCAGCTCTTTTGTAGGGTTTTCTTCTTCGTTATCTTTTCTTCTTCTTCTTCGCCTCATTCTGATTTTGTTCTTCTTTTTTCTCTTTTTATTTAGATACTCAATTTTATGAGAAAAATACACAATTTATAAGAAATTAAGGATTTGAATGTAAATCTCTGTTGCATCATATTCATATGAAATAATTTACCAGCCTAAATATATATTATTTTGTCGGACATTATACTATAGCGAAAAGATATAGACATGATAAAATGAAACTAAAGAAGAATCCAGAATGGGGGAGGGTTGGGGTGAAAGGAGAGACAAAATAGAATAATAATAAATAAATACAGTACTAGCTATACCGATGTGCCATTTGGAGAGCAAAATAATTAGTTTGTTTTATTTACTAATGTAAAGCGCTTTGAGCATGTTTATGCCATATAAATATCAATATGTATGAATATATTGCCAAATTTTGACAATTGTAGTTTGTAAGTATATGTATTGACAAAGTATAAATACAAATAAAACCGACACAGAAATGTCTGCAAGTATTTGGGACCTATAATATAGAATGTGCGAAAAGAGCTTTGTCTTTGTCTTTGGCCCATGCATGTTCCCACAGCTGAGTTACGTAAGAGGAACAATGAACGTTGCTGAGGGTACGGGTCGTTGTCATGGCTATAAACTCTAAAGAGCGGAAGTAAGGTAAGGGTATAATTGAATAATTGGATGACAGATCTGAGATTATATTATATTAAAAAAAAGAGAAGAGTATGAATTTACAAATAGTACCAAAAAATAGAAGAAAAAAATAAATAAAGTGAAAGGCGTAAATATTCTAAAAAAAAGAATGAAACGCCGATAATACCAAATAACAACAACAACAACAATGAACTGACTTTGTATTCATGTATAACGCTGCTTTATGTTGTTTTTGGGGAGGGAAGGGTCTTGTTGTTATTGCAGTTGTCGTTGCTGTTTTTTAAATTTTTAAATGGGATCACGTTCCGACATTCTCATAAATAAAAATCATATAACGTAAAGCCAGACTTTACCCTATCTGAAACACTCATTCAAAGACAACAATCATGCACGATAAAGGAATGGACAAGAATATGTGATAAAGATAAAATGTCACAGACAAATAGATAATTATAAGAAATGATTGTTTCTCTCTCTCTTTCTCTCTGCTTATGTGTCTCTCTCTCTCCCTCTATCTCTCACTCGGTCGCTTTCTCTGTCTATCTGCCAATTTTGTTCCGCCGTTTGCTTGTATGCCGGCAACATTCCTTTTTTGAGATAGATTATTATAAAATAATGATGATGTTCACACTTTATTATACCTTATATTTATTATAGCGAGCGAAGTGAAAAACGAGCGGCTGATAATGTCTAAATGCGAATAATTATATTTCCAAAGTAAAACTTTTGAATGAAAATCTCTGTTGCAACAAATTGATATAAACACTGTTTATTATGCTATATTGACTATACTATTATACGTCGGACATTATACTTCAGCGAAAAGATATCTATAATTATGATAACAAAAAGGACAGACTAAAGGCGACAAAAATCGGAGCTGGGGTGGGGGGGGGGGGAGGATGATCGGAGAGACAAATATCATATAAATAAATACAGTACGGACTACGTCCAACTTTCTATCTCTCTCGCCCCTTCCCCCTCCCCTTTCTCTCTCTCTCTCTCTCTCGCTCGTTCTCTCTTTCTCTTTCTATTCCCCCCCCCCTCTCTCTCTCTCTCTCCCTCTATATGTCTCTCTGTTTATCTGGCAATGTCGTTTTCCATCTTCATCTTTTTTTATTAAATGTTTTCTATTCCTCCGTTTGCTTGTATGCCGACATCATCTCTTCCTTGAGATTAATTATTATAACGTAATTATCCCTGATGATGTACACATTATACCTTATATTTATTATAGGAAACGAAATAGAGAACGAGCGGCTGATAATGTCGAAATGCGAAGAATATTACTGAACAATAATTATATTTCCAAAGTAAAACTTTTGAATGAAAATTTCTGTTGCATCAAATTTATTGATATAAAAAAAATGTTTAAAATGCTATATTTACAATACTATTATACGTCGGACATTATACTTCAGTGAAAATATATCTATATGATGAAGAAAAAAAAGGGCAAACTATAAAGGGTAAAAAAAAAATCGGAGCTGGGGGGGGGGGGGTGATCAGAGAGACAAATATTATATAAAAAATACAGTACGGACTACGTCCAACTTTCTATCTCTCCCGCCCCCTAGCTTTCCCCTCCCCTTTCTCTCTCTCTCTCCCTTGTTCTCTCTCTCTCTCTCTTTGCCCCTCTCTCTCTCTCTCTCTGTCTTTCTGTCTATCTGGCAATGTCGTTTTCCATCTTCATCTTTTTTATAATGTTTTCTATTCCTCCATTTGCCTGTACGCCGGCAGCATCTCTTCCTTGAGATTAATTATTATAACGTAAATATCCCTGATGATGTACACATTATATCTTATATTTATTATAGGAAACGAAATAGAGAACGAGCGGCTGATAATGTCGAAATGAGAAGAACATTACCGAACAACAATTATACCAAGTAAAACTTTTGATTGTAAATCCCTGTTGCATCAAACTGATTGATACACAAATTATTTATTATGCTATATTGACGGTACTATTATACGTCGGATATTATACTTTAGCCCAAAGATATAAACAAAACAAAACAAAAAAATGGAAAGAAAAATGTGAGCTTGAGGGGGGGGGGGGGGGGGGGGGGTCGGTGAGAAAAATATCATAGTAATAAATACAGTACAGACTACGTCCAACTTTCT